CCCATTCCCGGTGCCGATCCCACATTCCCGATGCCATTCCTGGTGCCGATCCCACATTCCCGATGCCATTCCCGGTGCCAATCCCACATTCCCGATGCCATTCCCATTCCCGGTGCCGGTACCTGCCGGGGCTGAGGCCGGAGGTCTGGGGTGGGGACAGAGCCTCCAGCGCCTGCGGCCGCCCCTCGAGGCAGAACTGCTTGAAGAGCTGCTTGTCAATCCCGGCCAGCTTGCAGGAATAGCTCTCGATCCTGCCGGGATAAAGCACCGGAAAACTGGGAATCGGGGAATAAACCACGGGAAAAGCTGGGAATAAACCACGGGAAAAGCTGGGAATAAACCACGGGAAAAGCTGGGAATAAACCATGGGAAAAGCTGGGAATAAACCACGGGAAAGGCTGGGAATAAACCACAGGAAAAGCTGGGAATAAACCACGGGAAATGCTGGGAATAAACCACAGGAATGATGGCAATCAGGGAATAAACCATGGGGAAAGGCTGGGAGTCAGGGAATAAACCACGGGAAAAGCTGGGAATGGGAGGAATAAACCACGGGAAATGCTGGGAATCAGGGAATAAACCACGGGAAAGGCTGGGAATAAACCACGGGAAAAGCTGGGAATAAACCACAGGAAAAGCTGGGAATAAACCATGGGAAATGCTGGGAATCAGGGAATAAACCACGGGAAAGACTGGGAATAAACCATGGGAAAGTCTGGGAGTCAGGGAATAAACCATGGGAAAAGCTGGGAATAAACCACAGGAATGATGGCAATCAGGGAATAAACCACGGGAAAGGCTGGGAATGAACCACGGGAAAGGCTGGGAATGGGAGGAATAAACCACGGGAAAAGCTGGGAATCAGGGAATAAACCACGGGAAAGGCTGGGAATAAACCACGGGAAAGGCTGGGAATGGGAGGAATAAACCACGGGAAAGGCTGGGAATAAACCACGGGAAAGGCTGGGAATAAACCACGGGAAATGCTGGGAATAAACCATGGGAAATGCTTAATGGCAATAAACCACAGGAAAAGCTGGGATTAAACCATTGGAAAGGCTTTTCCGGAACGTTCTCCGTGCACCGCGAGAATGAGGAATTAACAACGGATTAAAAATTAATTAAAAGTGAATTGAAAATTAACTAAAACTGAATTAAAACTGAATTAAAACCGAATTAAAAACTAATTAGAAACAAAGTAAAAGCCAATTACAAATGGATTAAAAATAAATTAAAAAAAATTAAAATCCAATTGAACTAAAATCAAACCAAAAGCAAATTAAAGATGAATTAAAAATAAATAAAAAATGAATAAAAAATGAATTAGGAATTAATTAAAAACTAATTAAAACTGAATTAATTAAAGCCCTATTAAAACCCAATTAAAACCAAATTAAAACCGAATTAAAACCAAATCAAAACTGAATTAAAACCGAATTAAAGCAAAACTAAAACTGAATTAAAAATTAATTAAACTCGAATTAAAAACTAATTAAAACCTAATTAAAACTGCTCAGCGTGGATCCGAGGAGTGGAGGAGGCCGAACATTCCCAGTTTGTGCCGGAATCGGGATAAAAGCCAGGATAAAAACTGGGATAAAATCCGGGATTGGGAGCGGGAAAACGGCCACGGCTCCACGGCGGGGGCTGGGAAAATCCCCCGGGAAAGGTCTGGCCCAGGGGGGAACCGGGAACAGCGGCGGGGAAAGATTCCAGGATCCGGAGCTTTTCCTGGGACAGAATTCCCAGATTCCTGGGCAGAATTCCCAGAGCTTTTCCTGGGACAGAATTCCCAGTTTCCCAGGGCAGAATTCCCAGATTCACGGAGCTTTTCCGGGGACAGAATTCCCAGATTCCTGGGTTTCCTGGGGCAGAGCTCCCGGATCCCAGGTTTCCCAGGGCAGAATTCCTGGGACACAATTCCTGGCTTTCCCAGAGCAGAATTCCCAGGTTTCCCAGAGCAGAATTCCCAGGTTTCCCAGAGCAGAATTCCCACGTTTCCCGGGCAGAATTCCCACGTTTCTCAGGACAGAATTCCCGGTTTCTCAGGGAGAATTCCCAGTTTTCCGGTCAGAATTCCCAGTTTTCTGGTCAGAATTCCTGGTTTTCCGGTCAGAATTCCCGGTTTTCTGGTCAGAATTCCTGGTTTTCCGGTCAGAATTCCCGGTTTTCCCTCACCTGCCGATGATGTGGGCATCGCCCGTCTCCACGGTCAGCTGGGAGTTGATGGCTTCGAAGCTGGAATTCTCCAGCAGCTTCATCCTCCTGCAGCCAATTCCCGGCGATTCCCGGTGCCGATTCCCGGTGCCAATTCCCGGTGATCGATAATTCCCGGTGATTATTCCCGGTGATTATTCCCGGTGATTATTCCCGGTGCAGCAGCTGCTCCCGAGGGGGGAACGGGAGGAACGTGAGGGGGACCGGGAACGGGGACAGGAAGGGAAAAGAGGGAAACGGGAAAAGAGGGAAAAACCAGAAACGGGAAAGGAAACGGGAAAGGAGAGGGACAAGGAGCGGAAGAGGAAGAGAAACTTCAGGGAGGGCTGGCGGGAAAGGGAGAAAGGGTGACAGGCGAGGGAGGAGAGGCAGAAAAAGAAAAAGAGGAGGAAAAAGGGAAGGAAAAGAGGGAGAAAAACAGGAAAAGGAGCAGGAAAAGGAGCAGGAAAAATCTCCCGCGTTTCCGGACGGCGCCATAGGAAGCGCAGTCCCGGCGTGCCCCGCGCGCTGGACTACAGCTCCCGGCATGCCCCGCGCGGGGCCTGGTAGAGCGCCACTGCCGGCCTACAGCTCCCGGCGTGCCCCGCGCGGGCGGCCCGGCCCCGCCATTGCTGGACTGCTGCTCCCATCATGCCCCGCGGCCGCGCGCGGTGCCGGGCCGCGCCTGAGCGGCGCGGGGCACGCTGGGAACTGTAGTCCGCAAAGCATCCGGGCGCGCAGGGGAGGGGGCGGCGGGCCGAGCGGGCTTACCGGCGCGTCCTACTCCCCGTCGGTGCCTCCTCGCCGCGGCAGCGCCTTCAGGCTCGGGGCGCGTGTAAAGGGAGGAGTCTCCGGGGAAAGCTCGAGGAGGGCGCGTGTGCCGCGGCCGCCGTCCGCCGTCTGGCGCCGGCCCACCGGGCCTCCGCCCACCTCGACATGTCCCCGAGTGCTCGGGACGGCGGGAGCGGCTGAGCGAGATGCTGGGAATCCCCCGAAGCGAGCGGGCGAGCGGGCGACCTTCTCCTGCGGCACCGGACGGCAACAGCGACGGCACCGCCCCGCCCGCGCCCGCCCCGCCCGAGCGGAGCCCGCAGCCCGCCATCCCATTGGGCAGAACACCTGCCAATCAGCGCCCTGCTGGCCGCTCATTGGCCGAAACCAAAGTCAATCAGCGCGGAGCCCGCGGCCCCTCCCACCGCGGGGGCGCTCGGCGCTCTGATTGGCTGGCGCGGACAAAGACGGGGGGAGCGGCTGTCAATCACAGCGGGGCGGGGGCGTGGCCAGGGCGGAACGCTCCTCCCCCCGGAACTCCCGCGCTCGGGGCCGCGTTTCCCGGCGCTCCCCCGGAACCGGCCCCGTTCGCGGCCGGACCGCGCGGGCGGGAGACCGGAAGTGGCGGGGCCGCCATGGCGGCGCCCGGAGCGCCGGGCCCGGCTCCCGCTGCCCCCCCCACGGTGCTGATGGCGGTCCGGGCGGAGCTGGCCGAGCCCTGCCGCCTCCTGCCCGCCGCCGCTGCCGGGGCCGCGCTCCGCCTGCAGCTCAGCGTGACACCGGGAGCCCACGGGAGCC